CCAAACATACCTTATAATAAACAGGATAAATTTTATCAATAAGAAATAAATGAATCATAAGGCAGTATATTAGGATAATACAATACTCCATCGGTGACATATGTTGGCTTAATCCATCAATAGGAATAGCAAGGAGAAAGTCCTGAGCATGTGCGACTTGCAAACAACCAAAAATTGCTTGGCCCCTTAGCATGGTTGAACACCACTTTTGGATTTTTTTCCTTGATGATGCCTTTCTTTCAGCGCCTCAATCTTCTTTGCAGCTTCTTCGTCATAAATCATGTTACAATTTGGGCATAACATAGATCTAGAATTACTCAACTTACATTTGTTCATAAAATCTACAAACTCCTCTTCAAGTTTAGGAAACACGACCTTCATCAATTCAGTCATTGTTTCCTCAGACAGTTCTTCATCTTTACAATCCATTTTTGCTTTATCGTCCTGATCACCTTCAGGCTTTTCATCAAAATCAACCATCATCACTTCATGTGGCTTAAACAGATTGTCATTGTCACTTTTGAGACCTTCAGTAGCCTCAATTGCTATAGCCAAAGCTTGTTCGTCTTCAAGACCATCAGTAGCCTTGAACATCAATGTTGCTAGTGAGTTGATTGTGTCTATATGTTCGTCTATGAGGCCCTCAGTAGCCTTCATCATTATCACTTCAAATGGCTCTACATAGTGTGCACCAGCCACGTGTAAGGGATTAGAGTCGATCTTCATAGCATTCTTTGGTTTCTCACCAAATTTCAATCGACCGTCTTTCAAAGCCTTTTGAATCAAATCCCTGAAAAGAAAACATTGAGAAGTATTATGATCCAATAAATTATGATATTTACAAAAACCTCTTTTTTTTGCTCTAATGGTGAATCCTTAGTGCCTGAGGGAACTATAATCAATTCACCTTGTGAGCGTGTGATTATTAGTAACCCCTTTGAGCTTTTTGTCAATATCCATGTTGCATTTTCTAAATGCTTGTCTATGAGTGTTTAGTTTCCCTTTTTGCATGGATGTTGATTCGTTGTTTTCTTGAACCCTCAACCATTATTTTGGTTTAAATTTTTACCTTGCCTTAGAAAGTAGGGAGTATTCATTTTAATGTATGGTTGAATTCAAGTTGGGGAGAAAAATGGTTGTGTATTTATTGGTTGATTATTATGAGGTTGAAAAAGAAAAAGAAAAGATAGAAAAAGAAAGAAAAAATTGAAAAAGCTTTGAAAAAGAAAAACAAAAAGAGTATGGAATAATGTTGTGTTAATAAGTGATGTGCGTTGGTGTGAAACTTGTGGTAAAGAAGAAATTTGATTGAAAATATATTATTTGAAACGTTGTGGAAGTAATTACTCCCTTAAGTTTAGGTAAGTTTTTGTTTCAATTAGCTTTAAAACTTATCACTTGTTTGTTAACCAAGCCACACTACAACCTTGAAAATTCCTTGAGATTCTTGCTTTTATATTTTCAATGTAAATTTTTTGGATGAATGCATAATTTAGTCTATAATTTGCAAGATTGTTGGATGAGTGAAAATACCTTATTTTTGTGTGTTTTTCATCTACCGATGATTGTGTTTGCTAGGTGTGATTCATTTGTGAACTAATATTGTTTTAGAATGTTTGGCATAATTTTTATATTTAGTATTTGTTTCGTGTTTATGTTATAGTGGTAGTTTAGTGGTAAGTGTTTACTTTGTGTGTACTGTTTTTCATTTGAACCATTTCATTTATTTTCCATTTTCAAAAACCTGTTGATTCGTGATTCTTTGATTATCGTCTTTTTCTTCTTTACGTTTATTTGACTTTGTTTGAAGATAAACAATGTTTTAAGTTGAGGAGAGTTTGATGAGTGCTAAATTATTGTGAATTTGAGTGCGAATAATTAGCACTCATCAGCTTAATTTGTTTTCTTTTTATCAATAAACCTCAATTTTAGTGTATATTCGGTATAGTTTACGTTATAGTGTATTTATTGCGTTATTATGTAAATATTATTTAATTTAATTGATTTTATCTCATTTTTTTAGGTATCCAAGCATTTATATTTAGGAATTGTTAGATAGATCATTGAATAAGCTTTCCAACGCTTCCTACCGGGCGCGAATCGAAGTTACGGTTCAAAAGTTATGACTGAAACAGTGCAAAATATTGTGTTGGTTTTTTAACTTTCTGTCATTCGTCGTCAGGCGATGCTTTTGGTCTCCAAGCAAAGCTAGGCGAGCTGTAGCATGGAAAAAATTCTGTTTTGGTCACCGAGCGACGCTTTTTGGTCGTCGGGCGATGCTGGATAGTCAGAAATTCGTATTTAGGTGTAAAAACATTTTTTTTGGGTATGGTTTTGGGTATTTTTGACCCCAACTCCATCATCCTTCATTTTTTTGATTGTTAGAGCTTAGAAAACAACATTGAAGCTTGCACACGGATGATCCGGGATGGATTGCTCTTCAATCAACGCTGATAAACCGATAGATTTATGGTTCGTTTCTCTTCCTCTTTGTGTATTCTTTATGTGTTGAGTTTATACATGTATTTAATTTGAACTCATGTATATTTGTCTCCCATGGCGTTATATTAAACTTGCTTTACAAATCTTTGTGGATTGTTGTCTTAGATTTTTGCTCTGTGCTAGGGATTTGAGTTGTTATAGACATATATTGCTTAGATTCTTATCTAGGATGATTATCTGTTAGTTTCTGAACTCTAGAGATAGATTTAGAGCTGACATCTACTTGGGTGTCAGAGCTTAATGCCTCTGTGTTATTTGTGTCGCTCTGAGAGATCGTCGATGCAAGCGAGCATAATTATATTCTGTGTTATTGAGGAGTTAGAGAGATCATCTCCTCGGTGTTATAGTCGGTCTCCTGATTTGGGTTATAAGTGACTTAGGTTGTGAGTGATACGTAGTGACATTGATGAGTATTGCTAGGTTGAATGTAACTGGTCGGTAGATTTAAGTATGTGATGGATGGAGTATATACCCGCTTGATAAGTTCTTCCTTAGTTTTTTCTTTTGTTTACATTTATTTTCTGTTGATAACATTTTCTTTACAAACCCATTTATCCCCAAACTCATTAACGAGAGATTTGTCGAACGATAATTCAATAACCAATATCTGTGGACACGATAAATTTCCAGATAAATATTTCCAAAACTTTTGTTGCTTGCCGCTATAACGCTTCCAACAACCTTACACCCCCTAGGTAATTCTTCCCGTCGAATATAATCAGGCAATGGTGAAGAGTAATTGGGCCTCCGGAGACCAATATTTACTCCAGATCATGTTAATACTTCTTCTACCATATTTGCTATGTTGTTACGTCCAACAGTGACATTTCTTAACACTCGATCAACATCTTGGTTTCTCCTAACTACGACTGGCCTAGGCTCATATTGTTCAATAAATTCTTCCTCTTCATAAGTGGATGCTTCCACTTTTCTAGGTCTAAAAGGACGCTCATTGTTGCCCCCTATAGTTCTTCGAAAACCCTCAACAGCCTGGGCGCGTTTGAGTTTGAGTTGGTTGGAACCCTAATGAGTCGATCAATCTACCTTTTGGTCAACTACAGGATTTAGGGCGACTCCCATTTGTTGAGTTAAATCGTTTACTAACTATAAATTACTCTCATCCATCTGTTTCCTTAAATCCATAACGGACGTAGTATTCAAAGATGGTGTCGACTGCAGGATATAACTAACACCACCTAGTCGACCACTTGGAGCATAATTGCCTTGGTTTCCAACGGCCACTGTGTTTTTTTTATATGTGGAAGAGTTCGACTGTAACCCAACCATCATGGAATAAGGCATACCATATTGGTGAGGGACAAATGATGACTTTGGACCCCCTGGAAAGAGTGGTCTATTTGGGTCAAATGGTGACACCTCATGCCTAGGTTCTTTCATTGTGACTGTTGTCACTGAACCATAAATTGTGAATCTTACAGGAGATAAAACTACCATGCTTTGAGTTGTGGTACTTACTGGTATAACATCCACATTTTGTGTAGAAATCTACGTATGTGCACTGTTTGTGTTAGAGCGTGGCATTTTAGACTTAAACAAAAGTTTACCACTTCTAAAATTCATACACACACTAACTATAAATTTTTTGTGAAACTACACACAAAATCCGAAAATATTAGCATTGTCCCACCGGGTGTGCCAATTTGTTTACCTCTGGATTTGGTAAACAACGTTGGTCTCTTTAAAAAAAGTTTACAGGCGAGATCGATCAGGGAATCTCAGTACAATGCTTCAGTTCTCGTGCGTAGTCAAAGTGTTTTCAAAAAGGGTACGTTCGACTGAGAGTCAAACATTTTAAA